CCCCTTGGATATACTGTAATTTTCTAACTGACGGTCATTTGCCAATTCAGCAGTTCCTGCTTCAGTGCCTTGTGACATCAGGCAGGATGCAATCTGAAGAATGATCAGAGGGATCCTGTTGCACCACACATAATAAAGCTTTCAATCCATAGCTGAGTTTTTCAAGCCCTTGCCGTGCAATAAAACACATATTTGCTGTTGCGTACCGTCAGACTGCAACTCTCAGGTTGGAGACTTTGGAAATGCTGCTGCTTTGGGCTTAATTTTTCTTATCTGCAATTAGGGGCATTAAACCAGACAACGTTCAATTGAGACTGAAGACTCTACCCAAAAAAACCCACCTTTATAGTGTTTATGGATAATATTTTCCCAAGAGGGAATCATACTATTTTTGAGGTTTACACCAAAGTATAAGCTCCCAGAGGACAGGACTCTTTGTGTCTCTGTGCTCACTGTTTTAGCCCCAGGGCCTGGGATATTGTCTAGCATAGACTAGCAGTCAGTAAATTTTCATTAAATAGAGAAAAGAAGAAAAGGGGAGAGAGGGAGGGAGGCAGGAAGGGAAGAATGGAAGAAAACTGGCACATTAATATCTCATTAAGTTGAACTTCACTCGCTGGAATATCAGTGCTGAAGCCACCCTAAAGATGGTGTTTGCATGAAATTTAATACTATGAATGAGTTTGGGTGTGATGGCCAAGGCAAGAGGATCTTTTGAAGCCAGGAGTTTGACACCAGCCTGGGCAACATAGCGAGACCCTTATTGCTTTTAAAAGAAAATAGGAAAGAGAGAAAGAAAGAAAAAGAAAAATAATAATATAAATGATTTTTTGAGACAAAATCTTAATCTGTCACCCAGGCTAAAGTGCAGTGGCACCATCTCAGCTTACTGCAACCTCTGCCTCCCAGGTTCAAGCGATTCTCCTGCCTCAGCCTCTTGAGTAGCTGAGACTACAGGTGTGTACCATCATACCCAGCTAATTTTTGTATTTTTAGTGGAGATGGATTTCACCATATTGGCTAGGCTGATCCTGAACTCCTGACCTCAAATAATCCGCCTGCCTTGGCCTCTCAAAGTGCTGGTATTACAGGTGTGAGCCACCACGCCTAGCTATAAATGGAATTTTAAGAGCAACATTTTCATAAGAGAAAACAGCACTTCTAAGAACTTCAGTCATCCTTTTCCCATATAAAAATCACATGCAGCGAGCTGACTTATGACCCTTTGATGGAGGGAGTTGGGTATAGTAAGTGCTTGTTATAAACCCCCCTGGGTTAAGAGTGAGTAAGAAAAGAAAAAGGGAAGAAAGAGGGTGCTTAGATGATGCTTCCCAGGAGTTTGCCTGTGAGGAAAGGCGAAAGAGTGTTGTAGCCATAGAAATCTTAGGGCTGAAGAAGGTTTTATATGTGTGTGTGTGTGTGTGTGTGTGTATTGGGGGGTGAGTTTATTTTACATATAGCAGAAGTTTTTATGCTGCTGAGGGGAAGGAGCCAGGAGAGGAGAGAGGAATGATTGATGAAGCAAGACCCTGAAAGAGATAAGAGTACAGAGATTGGTCCAGAGAAAGGAAAACTTCCCTTGCATCTGACACCAAGGAGAATGTAAGGAGGATGTAAGTAAATATTTAAAAAGAGCAAGAAGAATACAAATAACACCAAGGTGTTGAGCCAAGAAAACCCAAATGCTCCCGAATCATTTTGGTAATGTTTATTTGCTCCTTGTTCATTCATTTTTATGCAGCTGCTAATCCTGACTCACAGAGAAGCAGGAATAGAGGCAAATATTAAGAAAATATATGAAAAATTTATGCTTGGAATATTTCTAATTGAGAATCTGAAATAAATCTCCACTTTCCAATTCAGTTTCATCTCACTCTTAGAATCCCAGGGCACCATGAGATTGAAAGTAATGAGAACTATAACCAGGAGGGTAGCACTGGAAATCACAATATGGGCATGTGTTCCTGAGTCACGGATCCGAGGGTACAGAACATCACAGCTTTTGGAATCTACACGAGGGAAAACAGACAAGAGCCAGCTGGAGCAACACATCTTTGTTTGCCAGAATGTTGTTTATAACATCTCCATGCCTACACGCCCACACCCTGCTTGGTTTTCTGGTAGCCCCCTGGGTTCTTTGCTCTCTTCGAGCCACTGGTCTTCCCTCTGGGAATCTGCCTTTAGGTCTAAAACTTTCTCTGTGGCTTTGAACCATATTGTGTGTCTGGTAGTGGCTCTCTTTCTGAATTCTCTCCTGGTCCTTTTGGGCCTGTAGGACGTAGCCCTGGACTTCCATCTTGTGCTCAGCATTTCTGCCTCACACACTGGGTGTTGCATGTATCCCACACGGGCTGCTCTGGCTCCTCTCCTTCGGCCCCCCCATCAGCAGATACATGTGAGCCATGTTTGTTGCAGGTTGTACACAGATGGCAGTGAAGAGGAGGGCAGCAAAGGTCACCCCAGTGTCTCAGGGAAAATGGTGTAGCTGTTAAAAACAATAAGACAGCCAGGCAGGGTAGCTCACGCCTGTAACCCCAGCACTTTGGGATGTCAAAGCGGATGGATCATCTGAGGTCAGGAGTTCGAGACCAGGCCGGCCAACATGGTGAAACCATCTCTACTAAAAATACAAAAATCAGCCAGGAGTGATGGCGGGCACCTGTAATTCTAGCTACTCAGGAAGCTGAGGCAGGAGAATCACTCGAACCTGGGAGGCAGAGGTTGCAGTCAGCCGAGATAGCGCCATTGCACTCCAGCCTGAGCAACAGAGTGAGACCCCCTTTAAAAAAAAAAAAAATAGGACAGTTGCAAGGCAGAGCTGGTTTAAGAAACAGACCCCAAAGGCAGTGTTGAATTTGATGGGGAGCAGCTTACGAAGACAGAAATATGGAAATAAGCATATAGGGGTTACAGTCAATTTTGAAGCTAGAGGTGAGAATTTGGAGATGCCAGGTGTAGGGCAAAGATCTTGTGAGGTTACATGAACACTGAGGTGGAACTGTTGTGTCCTTTCCTTCTCCTGCCTCTAATCAGAAGTCAGCGTGGCCAGTGGAGCTTCTGATCCAATTCCTATTCCTCATTCCAGCTTCTCTGCAAGACAACAGTCAGCCTCTAATCTGTTCTGCCTGTTGCACCCCTCTACATGCTAGCTGTTTGTCTCAATACCACCCCTGATGTCTGGCTCCCGCATCTCCTTTCACCCTGAAATTTAATCTCCCAAAGCTGACCAACCTGCCTGCAGAGTCAAGTTCAAAAGCTGCTCAGTGCTCCTTGTCACCGTTTCATTCAGATAGGACCTCTTCATTATTAAGCCCTGGTCATGTTGCTGATACTCATTGAGATTATTATGCCAAACACCTGGCTAAATGATTTCACACAGATGTTCTTATTTGACTTTTTGCAGTAGCCATAAGGGTTAGAAATCATTACCAAGGTGGCCTGCATTCCACCTTGTCTTTGAATAGTCCCTATATATGCATAATTATTAATAGCACTCTCTCTAACTTTCAGAGGGTTCTGGTTTGGATGGTCAATTATATGGGCACCCTAACTGTCATGACACTTACTCTCCTCAGCGTACAGATGAGACGCAGAGAAGTTAAGTCCCTTCTCCATTGTCACACAACTGATAAATGGCTGAGCCAGGACTTGAACACAAGCAGTCAAATCCCACTGTAGTAGAATTCAAGTCTATAAGTCCCCTTGAAGTTTGGACAGATACCTGGCCTTTTAGGATTTGTTTCTTCTAATTCAGTTGTGATATTTTGTGTCATATCAGGCAGCTCATCCTCCTGCACCCCGCTCCGACTCCTAGTGGCCACCAGGCCCCCCTGTGCCTGACTAGAAACAGCAGATATAGGGTGAACTTTTATCACACAGTGTGATGAAGAGGAGAGAAACAAAGTGCTTGCTTGAGTGGGTAGGTGTCCTGAACAAGACTTTTATTGAATAAGCAATGGTTAGCCCAAGTAATGGCCTAGCCATTCATTTTATACAATTTATTAGTTGACTCAAATTACCACATAGTCAGTTTCAAGGAAGCAAATAACATCTATCATGTAACTGGCTAAAATGCTTAAGAACAAAAATGGCATGTAGAGATTTACCAAAAAAAAAAAAAAAAAAAAAACTAGGTTTTTGCAAAAATTGGAGTTTGGATACCAGTAGCGTCCTTTTTATGCTAAAACAAGCTCTTGGCCGAGAGTGTGAGCAATACGCATTAAAAATTATTCAAGCTGATATATCTTTTTCTCAAATAAAACCAAAAAGTTAAAAATGCAGCAATCACTTTCCACATTCTGAAAACGAGGGAATGTATTGGGATTTGCACAGTTAGCCATGCTTTTTTAAATCCATTCTCCCCAGCGATTGATGACTTATCTTTTGAGCCATTTGGACTGAGTGGCTCTCCATGGCTCTGTATCGTGAGGAGGGAGTGGAAGCAAGTCACTGTGGGCACCTATGCTATGCAACACCCTTTCAATGCTAGAATAGTAAAAGTTACATTAAAATATCCAAATCGTTCAAACCTAGAAACAACTACAAGAGGCCCTCTTGTGTATTATTGCCATGAAATAGATAATAGGTGTTCAATTAAGTGTTTGTTGAATTGTATGCATTGACGTTAGCTGATTTACTAAAGATGCTTCTTAGACATATGATTTGTGTGTGGCAGAGGGGTGTCTACAGTGAGACTGTCTTCAAGGCGGATTCCAACAATCTCTACCTCTGGATACTCATGCCCTATCTAGTTCCTTCCCACTCCGAATGGGACTAACCCATAGACCCAATAGGATATTGCAGAAATAATAGTGTGTAACTTTGACTGGTCATCAACTCCAAACTCCAGTAACTTATACTAGTCGTTCTGGCTTCCTCTTTATCCTCTTGGATCCCTGGCTCCAGAAGAAGCCAGCTTCCATGTCATGAGGACACCCAAGCAACCCTTGTGGAGAAACCCACCTGCTGAGGAAGTCAGGTCTGTCAGCCGCCCCTCCTAACTTGCCAGCCATGCAAGTGAACCGTGGGAGGGCAGCTGTAGCCTCCAGATGACCATGGGCCCAGCTGACATCTTGTCTGCAGCGTCACTACAATCTACGCTACTCCTGATTCCTGACACACAGAAACTGTGAGATAATAAATGTTTATTTTTGTTTAAAGCCATTAGGTTTTGGAGTACGTGTTATTCAACAATAGATAACTAACACAGATTTATGCAGTGTGTGTGTGTTTGTGTGTGTGTGTGAAAATTTGCTTTGTGAACTAGAAAAAGAATAGAGTGAGTAGAGGAATGACATAATATATACCCTGAATCGGATCAGTTGGAGGAAGATCTTGTCTGCCAACACTGGATGTGGACCAATGACCTCTTCCCAGGGAGCTCCCAACATTAGTTAGCACTGGTGATTCAGTGTCAGGCCATACTAAGATAGAAGCTTCTAGAAAGGGGCAGTCTTTGTTGTAAGAATATTTTAGTGAGTACTGCATTTCACATATTCAATGCCTCCAAGAGAAAGCAGGAGAGACTTTCTGGTTGACAGTGTCTTCCACTTTTTGGAGGCAGTAATAGTAGCCGCCATTTGCTGACCCTGTAGTACTACTTCCGGCACCATGTTAAACTTTTTGTACATATTATCTCACTTAATTCTCACAGTAGTCTTCGGAGGGAAGTGTGAAGGTTGAGAGGAGTTAAGTAAGTTGCTGAAGATTACCAGGCTAGTAAGAGACAGAACTGACTTTCAAACCCAGGCTGCCTTTTCCTAGAATCCTCCTTAACCAGTACATATACTACCTCTGATGTCACGTTCAACTTGATTTTGAAGCTTTATGTCACCATTAGCTTCTACAGAGGTGGCCCTAACATACCACCTCTACACATCTACGCCAGTACACATCGCTACACATACGCTACACATCAAGAGTTGATGGGCTACTCTTAAAAAATCTTACGTATTAAACAAATTACAACGTGATCTATGTCACCGTTTTTATTCACAGACATGTTGTGATAGACTGTGTTTTAGAAGCCAAAGCATGTCCATGGGGTATGTCTTCTCTTCAGCTCTATATTGGGTGGGGACAAGACCTTTATCAAGACTGCAGTAAGGTAATTTGTATTCCCTTCAGAAATGTAATAGGATCATATCCCAACCACACATATTCCTAAAGACCCAAGAGTACATGCAGCTGATCAGGTTTAGGGGTTTTTCAAGGTAGAACACTACCAGTGTGGAGGCTAGGCTCCTACCTCCACGTAACCCAGGGTCCTGGAGCCAAATCTCCATTTGAACTTCAGCTTTGCCCTCTGGGAGCTTGGCCGTGTTGGGTAGGGGACAGAGTGGGCTTGGGAATAGAGGGAGCGGATGCTTTCGACAGTCAGAATTCAGTTTCACCTGAAAATAAAACAGGATAACAATACTTCTCCTAAAAGGTGGACATGAATATCCTGCATCCTGTCTTGCATTCTTCTCATCTGAAATGCCAGGATCCCAGTGATTTCTCCCACTTTAGGAGGTTCTCTGTTCTCCCATGACTGCTAGTGCCACCTTGCAATGGAAGGCACAGTTGACTCACCTGGTGAGTTGCTGTGGAGTGTGGATGCTCCCAAGTTGAGCCCATAAGCAGTAGAGCTTCTCTTTTTCCCAATGTCTCAGGTGCTATGTCAAGTGCTCCATTTGGATTAGCTCATTTACTCCTCCTTGTCATATAAGAATCTGATATAATACATGATTACCATTCCCATTTCTCCACTGTGTAAACAAAGAGCAAAAGATCATTTGACAAAAAGTCGCAAATCCAGGAAATGGTAAATTCAGGTTTGTTGGACAGCAAAATGATTAAACTTCCAAAGAGAGACCATTTGAGTCCTCTTGGTATTCCTTCCATCAACCTGCACCACAGGGCAATGCTGTTTACATATTAGAGTGGATTGGGGTGACTGTTCTGGGCTTTGTTGGACCTCCTTCCACTGCCTGATTGCCAATGCTTTCCTCTTACCTCACTTTTCAGAGTGCTCCTACCTCTTTTGTGACACTGTTGGTGATGTTTACTATAGCCTTCAAAAAAAATATATGGTTAGGGGAATGGGGTCTGTCCCAGCAACAACTCCTATCTTCACCCCTACCTTAAAGTCCAGACATTTGTCATTGGTGTTCTAACTGAATCTTTTTGTTAGATAAAGCTATAGAATCCTAGACCTGGAAGAACTTGTGCCATGTGCTTTAACCCTCTAATTTTATGTACAGGAAAACTTAGATCCAGAGAAAGAGGTGACAAGATTTGTCTGCAGTCCTAATGAGTGTTAGAGCCCAAAGCCAATTTTGTGCTTTTCCAACCTCTTCGCACGAAAAGGAAGGCTGCTTTGGGGGAACCACAGTGGCTTCAATTGTCAGTAGCACAAACTGGAAATAGTAGGAACAAAAACTTTAAGAATCCATATCCTGCAGTTTAGGTTGTAAGGAGAAGGTAAACATTATCATATCAAGTTAATCTTCTGCATATTGCCTATGTCTCCTATTCCTGCTGGATCTAAACTTTGGTTTGTCCCTGTTTCCTTTCAAAATCCTGGAGCTGGGTGCTTTGCACCAACCCTAAAATGATACATTGAGTGGCTCCCCTGAGTCCTGGCAAATAATGTAAAAATGGAGACACACTCAGGCTGTTATCTTTTTACCTTTAAAATTGATTTGGAAGGAACATTGTAAATGACTTTAAAGACTGCCATTTTCATGTTTGGAAAGCAATTCGTGATTATTGTAAACTAGATTTAACTTGGAATGTTTAAGACGTGGGTGGTTAATTCCTGCCACAATTCAAAGGGGGAAAAATGAACACAGAAAATAAAATAGAACAAGTACAGGGAGTACAGTTAATAGCTCATTTATCCCATGTCATCCAAAAATATTTTCACATAGCTAACTCTTGAAGATAACATAATTTATTCAATTTAATCACTAAACTTTTAAAAATTAAAAGTTGCTGATGGAAGTTTTATCCAGAATGTATCACAGATTTCTCCCTCCTGAACCCAAGGCCACTTGGACATAATTTGGTTTTTCCTGATGCATTAGTGTCCTTGTTGTGAACATATACCAGCAACAACTCCTCCTATATTCACTCCCACCATAAAGTCTAAACATCAGTCATTGATGCATTAGTCATTTCCCTAATGCATCAGTTTCATCCGTCGTACTGGGGTAGAACACTGCTTATGCACCTTTCCAGTGTTTACCACCCCCAACATGGATTAGTCCCAGATACCATGGGTGTTGATTTTATTTTATCTTTTTCATGTTCTCAGATTGTCTGTCATCTATCCCTTCCTTTGGTGGTTGGCTCATACCTTTAAGTTAGCCCGACTCAGTCATGCACCCTGGGCCCACGGGCTGGTGAAGAGAGGTCAAGGAAACTTCCTGTCCCATCTCTCTCTTGTCCTTGCCACTTCTTTCCAGTGCCAAGGCTCTCTCTGCTGTTGAGTTGTTGTTTCCGCATGGCTTTATTGACTTTGAGCCTTGACTGGCAGGACTGTTATCTACCCTCTTTGGTACTAACTTTGAATAACAATGATAATATCACAAATGGTTGTAATAATGATAGTGGTGAAAGAATAACATCTACCGTTTATGCCAGTGTTTTGTATTATGTGCCTTTGTTACAACATTTCTGTAGAAGGGTTCATCTTACTCTTATTGGCCAATAGAGACAATAAGGTTCGGAGAATTAATGTTTCAAGACAACAAAACTAGGATTCAAACACAGGCGGGTCCCTTCAACTCCAAAGCTTGTGCTCATTGCTCTGAATCACTTTCTAGGCTGCATTATGTCACCCTCATTTCTTTCCTATGTATGTAGCCTCAGCCCTATCAGATGGCTGAGTCTTTGGTGGGCTGGCTTCATAGCTGGGCCCACCACAAACCCTTGAAGAAGCTTTCAGCCCACCTGCCTTCAGCAGAGCCATCCTTCCAGTAGCAATTGGATGACCAGAGCAGGTCAGAATGATATTGCTTCTGGTCAAAACTCACTGTAAGCTTAGCTCAGCAAGCTCTTTAGAATCCTGCATAAGATAATGGCATTAACCATGATGATAGAAATACCTCTTCACTAAGCCACTCCCATAAGCTTCATAGAACAAATGATGTGACGCCCTTTTCTGGCTCTGGAGAAGTTTTTGTCCCTTTTCATGACTTGACTGTGATCAGAATAGTTGACGTTGCAAAAGAAGTGACCTCAGGATAAGTGAGGTATTACTATATTATTTCAAATTTGTTTTTTCATGAAAAATAACAGGGAAGGGGATTTGGAACTTGTGTCACATTCCCATGGGAGATAACTTTAAAGCACAGAGGAGACAAATGCAAAACCTCTTCCCCTATCATGCAGAGAACACTGTGTGTCCCTGGCCAAGGAAGAGTAAGGAGATTTTTTTAAAAAATACTACTTAGTGGGGAAGTGGGGAGAAAACAAGCAGTGTTTAAAAGTCTTTAGATTTTTGTAGTCATAATTAAAATTTGATGAATTCTTACCATGTGTTTGGTATTGGGCCTAGCACTTTATGTGGATATTAGATCCTCATGAATATTCGCTCATTGAACAGATGAAGAAATTGAGGCTTAAAATTTTTCTCAAAGTAACAAGGGTAATAAACAGCTCAACAGGGATTTACATTCTGGCAACCTGCTTCCTGATCTTTTGCCTAAGTGCTGCACTATACTACCCTTTATTAAAAATAAGGTTTAGTATGAGCTGAGAAAAGTTCAATCAAACATAGATGCTGGAGAAAGGTAAGTTATTAATGGAACATTTAAATTATCCATGCACTCTGCAGGAAGCTGATTTAGAGAGCAATGAAAGATAATTTTCTGATGCATCTAAATGTACCAACAAAAGAATAATCTGCTTTTGAGCTGCACCAATGCCAAAGGTAGAAAAATGAAGATAAAGAAAAGCTTGACAACAGCATCTGTATTTTTAAAGAAAAAGAACAGTGTGCTTTTTCCAAAGTGATTAATTGTACAAGTCAATAAATGTCAGCACATGGGAAAGATGCCTGCAAAGTGGAGGCCACTATAATTAAGTGAAAATGAAGAGAGAGAAAACGAAAGAAAAGATTTCTAGAAATCATAGTTGTTGGGGGAAAAAAACGTCATGGGTTGCTATCACAATAAACTTAAGTCCCAAGTCCTTGAGTAGAGGTAGCAGTAGGAGGGGCACAGTTGATAGCTGATAAAGGGTAAGTGGGTACTAGGAAGAATGACTTCACTGGGTTGTGTTTTCCGCTTTTCAGCTAAGAAGGCACTGATTAACTCTCTACAAGCCATTTAATTGAGTTTAGACCTGAGGGGTGGGGGGGCTTACCCATCTGGAAACAGACATGGAAAAAGATTCTCACTAATCTTGCCTTGGAAAATGACCAAATCCCATGACCTGGTTTTACTGACTGGGGGCAAAATCCCCTGTCACTTTTAATCTAAAGGGTTCTCCTCCTTTGGGTCATTTTGTTTAGCAACACTTGCTGAGCCTCTGGAAATTTTACAAAGAAATCCAACATGATTAAGAGCTTGATGATGATGATGATGACAATGATGGTGTGATTTTTATTACCTATTGATTCATTCATTCCACTAATCATTTCTGAGCTCCCATGGAAAGGTACTATTATAGCTTAAATCAGTAGATAGAAGTTTCCTACCCTCTGCCTTTGTCCCCATGTTTCTTCCCATCACAGAAAATATTTGTGGTAGAGAAGGAAGATGAAACAAAGATTGTGAGGCACTTGAGCTCCCATCAAATTGATGGTCACCCCTAGATCCCCACACTAGCCCAGGAAGGAAAGTGCCTGGTTCTCTCTGTAGCAGCGACATGTGTGAGCTGTCAGCCAGCTCTCCAGGGTCAGCCTCCAATGGATTCAAGAGTGAGTGGCAGCTCTTACAGCATGGGCAACCATACCCAGGCTCGCAGGGTGTCCTGGGGTGACGGCCTCATTTTCCTCATTCTAATTGGATCCAAAATAGCCTTTTTCTGGGGGCATTTTCGTGTTAACTGACGTTTTATTCATGTAGGAGGAAGCACGGAATGATAAAGGGGGCCCGTTGTGTCTCTGTATTCTAAATATATGATTTCACAGCCAATTTAGGCAGTTGAGTCACTGCTGCCAGTGAACACTTCACATAGTAAACACAGCACATTTAAAAAATTTGTTGATCAAATTCATTATGTTTAAGAATGTTTTCAATTCCCATCAAAATGCAATTTAAGTCATCACCTTAAAGCAATCTGCTAGATCACTAGCTGGTTTCTGAAACTGTCATCCAAGAAAAAGTTGCAAGCTTTCCTGTGAGGGACAGACCAGCTCTTAAAGGGAATTTTCCAGGGCCGCCTCACTACCCACTACCACATGCCAGTTCTAATTCTGGTCCTACCATTTACTGGTTGTGATTATCTGAGGGAATCACATAATATCTCTGTGCCTCAATTTTCTCAACAGTAAAACAGGCATGATTACAGCACTGCCTCATAGAGGGAGGAGTAAATGAAGCTCAATGTGTAAATATTCATTAGAACTGTGCCTGGCACATGGGAGCTCTGGGTAAGGGCTTGCTTTCTTAGGGGTATCATCATTATCATGATTATTATTCACTGAGCATGTACTCCAAGGTGGGTGCAGGATATATAGCGAAAAAGTAAGCACAATCCTATATCTTACAGAGAGGGTATACGTAATTTAAAAATTACATCAATCAGGATGTAATTATAGCTGGTATGTTAGAAAGGAAACCCACAGGGTACAGTGATAAGGACTGAGGTTCAGGGCTGTGAAGCAAGGCCTGTTAGGGGAGGCTTTTCTGGGGCAGTATCACATTTAAGCTGATCCTGGAAGCTGAGAGGGAGGAGATCAAGCCTCTGTTATCACCCTAGCAGAGGCAGCATCACACTGGTTCACTGAATAATTATGGGCCAGGCTCTATGTTGGCCTTTGCAGCTACTCTTTTCCTACCAATATCCTGAAAGAATAAAGGATGATCTCCATTTTGCAGCAGCTCACTGTGAGTTTTTCTACTGTGCTCTGCTGGCCGCCTCTTCCAGCAGGCTGTCACTTGGACAAGCATCAAATTAGACTTGAACCAGGATGCTCGGTCCATATTGACTGTAGGTCCTGTCAGTCACACCATAAGTTAACCCAAACTAAGAGAGATCTACTTAGTTTGGGGAGCTAGAGTACTCTGCCTTCTGGCCCTGGGATCAGGGAGAGGAAGAACATTGAATCCCTTCCTTCAGTTGGTCAGACTGACCTGTTGACAAGCTGTTAGTTTGACCAGTGCACCAACTGCAGTCTTCATTTCAGGATATGTAAGCCAGTCTGCCAGGCTGACTAGATACATACCCCATCCCCACTGGCCACAGCTAAAATAGTGAAGGGCTCCACTGAGGTGTTGACACCTGTGCTAGGTATTCTGGAAGTATTTGCCTTTCTCGGGATATTTGGTGGCAGTTGTTCTAGTGGATTTAGGGAAAGAGGTAGATTAAAAAATGTACTCCACGTACCACCTTGAGCTAGAAGTCAGGATCTCTGGACTCCAAATGTGGAAGTGATGTTCTGCTGGCCAGAGGGCATGCAGGTGTAGCAAAAAGCTACTTCAGAGGTGATTCCTGAACATTTGTGTTTTAGAAGCAGGGAGGAAGGTGGGGGTTAATTCAACCTGGGTGGATTAAGAACATTTCTCTGAGGAGGTGATGATTCACTTGAGGTTTCACTGTTAGAATTTGGTTTTTCCAGGCAAGGTCTTTGTATTGGTCTGCTAGGGTGCTAGGGTTGCTATAAAAAAATACCACAGACTGGGTGGTTTAAACAACAGAAACTCTTCTCTGCACAGTTCTGGAGGCTGGAAGGTGTCCTTAGGGTTGTTTTCTGGTGGGGACACTCTTCTTGAAATGCCACTTTCTCACTGTGGCTTCATATGGCCTTTCCCTTGTGCACACATGAAGACAGACAGAGAGAGAGCAAGAGAGAGACAGAGAGAGACATATGGTGTTTCTTCTTCTTTTTATAAGGACGTTAGTTCTAGAGAATGAGGGCCTCACCCTGAAGACCTCATAAAGCCTTATTACTCCCTTAGAAGCCCTTTCTCAAAACACAGCCACATTGGGGGTCAAGGTTCTAACATATAAATTTTGGGGGGACATAATTATACCCTTAAAATCTTAGCCTTTCCCTAAATTTATCTTTATAAATAAGTTCTGATCATGACCTTATTAGAGTCTTGAAATAGACCCACCAGAAACTCACAGTGTATGAAGCAATGAAATCAAGCTGTATAGCATCAGGTATATCCATTTCTCAAATTTTTTATTTCTCAAATATTTTATCTAAACTCATCTTTGTTTTTACAAGACAAACGTCTATTATCAGCAGTAAGTTTCCATGTATTTGATATCTTACACAGGACAGCAGAAAACCTCTCCCCATCCAAGGTCAGCATTATGTGACAGAAGACTCAGATGCACCAGGTCTTTTGGGGAGGAGAAGAATATGGGCTTCACCTCCATCATGCCAAAGTACAGTCCAGTTTGACACAGTCAAAATAGATGTACGTATTTTGCGACAGATTAGATATATAGATTTAGACATACAGCTTTTATATAATTTAACAAAGCTGGGCAGGTCCAACACTCTCAATGGACATTATTTATTTAAATTAAATATGTATTTCCTTGCCCATTGTAAAAAGATCTTTAGACATATTTTCCAAGCGGTAGAGATAACTATGTGTACAGCCAAATCATTCTTAGGCCAGAATGTTTTAGAAAAGTGTTCTGAAAACTAAATTCATTACTCAAGATTTGTTGAAGAAGGATGGGCAGCCTACAGCTGGGTAGGTGGACCCCTGAGACAGAGTCCAGAACCCTCCTAGGATTCAGCACAATAGAGGTGGTTTTTGTTTGTCCCTTCCTTCATATTTTTCTTTTTTTTCTCCTTAACTTTCTTTTGCTCTCTGAAATGACTTACTTTTTCTTCCTACATGTCTTTCTCACTGGTCAATATGATGTTAAGACATCTCCCTCCATCCTTCCTTCCATTTCCTGTGTACACTAAGGCTACTCTCATTTATACAACACGGCAATCTCTGCTTTGAAACAAGAATGTTTTTCGCTGTGCACAAATTTAAGATTTCATAAGTGCCGAATAAATTTATATATATGAAATAACATATTATAATATAATATAATAACATAACATATAATTAATGGCCCAGAGTGAAATCTAGCTTCCAACATCTCTTTGGAAAATTTAGCCTTATGAATGATTAGTGACATATCCTAATCTAAGACAAGAACTTAAAAATCTTGTTTCTAGCATTTTAGGTTTAATAAATATCCTATTGAGTCATGAAATAAGACCCCCTACGGGAATAAGGCAGATGAGAGAGCAAAGAAGAGTCTCCAAAGGTCATTTATTAGTAAGGCTGTGCACATTTGATATTTGGAGGCCAAGTTAATGATTCATCTCATTAATAATTCAAATGAAAATAGCAGACACCTACTGAGGCATTTATACCTAATCCGAAAACTAATCTGAAAATATTTCCTGTGTACCAAAAATTAGCCTGGTGTAGTGGTGCACGCCTGTAGTCGCAGACACTCAGGAGGCTGAGGCATGAGAATCACTTGAACCTGGGAGGCAGAGGTTGCAATGAGCTGAGATCCTGCCACTGCACTCCAGTCTGGGTGACAGAGTGAGACTCTATCTCAAAAAAAAAAAAAGAAAAGAAAAGAAAAATATTCCCATGTATCAACATGCATGTTAAATGTGATGGAAACATGGCCATGTTTCTGGGTAGATTTCTAATCTCTCCCCCAACCCAACCCAATCTCCCGCTTAATATACTACGTAAAACGTAGAGCTCAGAACCCAACCCATTTCTTGCAACTTTGCTGCATGTTTAGAGTCTTTCATGAGAAATGTTGGAGAACATACTCAACTCTTCTTTCCTGCATTTTGTCTTTTTGTTTCTCGTCCACTGGATAATGGTTGTGTGTATTGAATTCCGAAGAAACTAATCCTCAAACGTTCCTTTAGCTTGATAACAGAGGCTAACAGAGAGAGGAGACGGACAAGAAAGAGAGAGACTATTGAGTCTCTCAGCAGCCCATCAATAACAGGAGTGAATTCCTCAGAGGCAGAGAGGATCGATGAAAGTGGGACTGTAATAGCTAGAAAGCATCTCATTTGTCTCCCTAAAGACTTTGGCATCTGCCAAAACATCTGATTCCAAAAGCCACCCCAGAGGTCAGCCAGATTTAGAGAGAGCTGGTTAGAGAGGAGTTTAGGATGTGAAGTACATCTTGCCTGCCAAGCCCATGGTGGATAGCTGAGGGATCTGTCTTCTCTCTCCAGTTTCTGACTGGAGCTGGTGGTCTATTTAAGCGTTTCCATCTAGCAACTCCCTGTGTTCAAGCTACGCAGCCATGAGCAGATGATCAGGACCTATGGAAGTGATTGGAGGATACATCCTGGGGGATGGGAATGAGTGGATGGGGATGGGCACTGCCATACAGAGGGCCTGAGGAACTGTCCAATTTGAAAAGACACACTCACAAACATAAAAGCCCACTCTGCACATCTGTCTCTAGTGGACACAGTTATATATAGATATTCAATACACACAAGCCAGATAGACTAAATCGCAGCCTCTCTGTAGTAAATGCCCTAGTTGTTTAGAGTAAAAATGGTTTAGATTAGCACCCGGGCAGTCTGACAAAGGTCCGGATGGAGTTAGAGGACTTGCCAGCATCATTAGCATTTTTTTCTTCTTTTTCCAGCAGCACTAAAATATGTTTGCTCAAAACAGAGAGAGATGAAAAACTACTGGCAGCCAGTACTTCTTAAAAGAAAAGAAAAAGAAGCATGTATTACTTCTCTGGCCAACATACCAATTAAAATGATGTTGTGTTGTGACAGATTACTGAGCAATTAATGCCTAATTGGTCATGATGCTAGATACTTCCGCGAAAGTGACCTTACTGAGGCTGGGGCGGCCACACGTCACAGCAAAGCAATCCTTCCCCAAACTTCCTGCAGCACCCTTCACGCCAAGGAGTCCAGAAACCAAAGAAAACATTTTCTTTCTTTGAATCTCCGAGAGTTACACTGGAAGAATTAGCTTGGCAGAAAGATCCCGACATTGAATTCTATTGGGGATTTCATACTTTCCTCATTTGTAAGCAAAATCCATTTTCCATGAGATATTTTTAGTGCTAGCAGCCCCTGTTGTCCTATTCCCTTTCACTATACCATTAGATGTTGAGGCCATTCCAGAAAGGACACGTGATTTCTAAGCATCTCTCTCTGGTTCTTTCCTAAGTGACTAGTCTCACAGGAGTCAGGGAATACTAGACTCTTAACTACCAAAGACCTCAAAGTCCTTCCCAGCTCCTTGAATTCTTATTGATAGGATGTTAAAATGCTTTACAGCTGCTTTTTCTAAGAGGTCAGCTTGGCGGAGCTTGCTGAGTGACCTCGGTAATAGAGATATTTTCAGCCGTGCAAGCCGCCTATGTAAATATAAAAATGTATTAGGCTGCAGAACTGCATGTGTGGGAACAGAACAACCATACTATTGAAAGGAAATCGCAGGGGAACACTGGTGTCTCTCACTCGGGGCTGGTTAATGCGTGCATGCTTTTGTTAAATCATCTCGATCTAGTGAACTCTATGTTTCAGATAAGCCAATTTCATTTCTGGAACTTATTAACTATGAAAAGTAAAAACCTCAATCACTTAGTGAAATATCCAGCAAAATTTCCTTCAGGAAGTGTTTATGTTTTTAAAAAACAATCCTTTTCACTCTTTATATGATGCTCATTTGCCTCAGGAAAAATTGTCAGTGTGAAGTCAGATTTTCAGTTGTGAAAAAGAGTAATTTATTTGTGTGTCTGAGTGGGAAAGATATATTTATTCAGACCTCTGATAGGAGAATCGAAGATCGTCATTGTAACGAACAGGAAACATGCTCTCAATGTAAATTGAGAAATACTCTCTGAGCACAGTGCTCTAATAGTCCGAGTGCGTTCAGTTTATGTGGATCAAATCTTTCCCATCTCTGTATCCAAGCTATTTGGCCATGATCAGATGATCAGAGCTCAAGGAAATGATTGGAGAGTGAGCCGGCTGCAGCTGCAGTGTAGGCTGTTTTCAGGGACAAGGAGCCACTGTTTTGCAAACATAGCATCAACATAGAAGTTATTTTGTAGGCTCCAGGATGCAGCAATGGGCTGCACTGCCAGCATTGTTCTGCTTCAAGCTTTTCGTTCTGTGGTCCAGAGGAGCTGTCCACACATTTGTAGACGACGCCAAGAAGAACCATCCCACGAAATTCTGCCTCTGGAAAGTGACGATGAAATGAATAGACCCAGAACCCTCATCATAATGGTATGGTATCCGTGGTAAAGCAGCCTCAGTGGATTGAACTGTTATTATAGAGAGGTTACAATTTAGGGGTTTCGGTGTTCAGCATTAGATAAAGATGTGTGACCTAGAGTTTACTACTCTGCAGTACTGTT